GAACTTCTTCCTCTTATGGAGAGCGAACGCATAGCACCTATACCCTCCTGTAAATCGGTAAATTAGCACATAGCGTCTCCCAAACTTACTTACCTGTCGTTCTCCTCTCGTTCATTCTAAAAGTCACTGCACTCGCAAAGTTCCCTGGATTGTTTCTACACTTACTTAAGCTGATGATGGCACACTGTACGAAATCAAAAGTCGGACGAAAGCAAGAGGCAGCACATCTCTATTTTTTCTACCGATTTATTTGTCTTTCTCACATTTCCTACACATTGGATGGCATTCGCAACTCACGGGTAAAGGAGGGCACGGATGAATAAATACCTTTTTCAAAAGGCGCAGAAATGTTCAGGAAGCCGCTGAGCTCAACATTCTCAGGAACTAGTCCGGCAAGGCAGATGTTAGAATAGTGGACCTGTTTCCCAAAAGAGTATAATTCGCGAACACCTTTCGCAGATTTATTGCATACATGTCTCAGATCTTCTTCGACACTAAGATGTCAAGTCTACTTACAATCTATACCTAATCACTCTTCAGCCACGGACTCTCCTTAGTCACCACCTTCTACTGCATGGAAAGCTCCTTCATGCATAAAAGGACAACGAAATCGATAGCATATAACGATGTACAGCGTATATTGTCGTTATAGAGGAAGGAAATTAAAACCTGGCAAGAATCGTGTATAAAATTACATTGATTAGATACCAAATACTGAACAGTATATCACAAAGTGCACTACTTTCCTCCAGAGACTGTCTGGTCTTGTGGTTAGTTTATGAAATGGAGCCCATCAGCGGCTGATGCGGTGCCACCATGATGACTCGATTCTAGACCTTTTTCTTCTCTAGTTCCTTTTTGCTCCATATATCAGCGAATGCCAAGGTGCCAGCGAAAACAAGGAACGCCCCTATCCAGTGTTGCCCTAAAAGGTAGCCTTTGCAAATCGGACGTTCTAGATATCCTGAACTGCGTGGGTTTGCAGTGCGAACTGACAAAGCAAAAAATAGTACATGCCGAAAGATAAAAAATATAATCACCAGTAAAAGGATTTTGGAACCACCAAATGGAAACAACCAGCGAGAGGAACTTCCTCAGCGTAACCACAAGGGTAACAGTAAGTGCTTCCACCTCGGAATTCAATCGATATACGAAGCGAATACAGTAGTACCTGAATAAAAAAATGAGCTATTCTCCAGGCACATAAAATTAAGACTCACTGTAGGATGCAACTGAGGAAAAGATTCATCCATAATGAAGGGACAGGAAGTTCAATGCCGAGGAGTTCAAAGGGAGCGCTCTAAATATCACTAATGAGAGATAAACAAAGCGACAAGATTTTCAAATCATTACCCGACTGAACTTTCTGGCTGCAGCCATGATGTCGGATCCCATCAGAGAAAACAATGGTAATGACACTGCATGCTGAAAAGTGCCTGACTATAGACAAGTGATTTGCACGCTGACTTTCAGGATATCGAAGGATAGTATAGGACAAG